CTCAATTTTAATAGAAGAATAAGAACTAGATCGGTATAATCTGCGTACAAAATAAAGATCTAAACTTATAATTTGTACTCGGTATCAACCCAATTTTATTTCTCATCTTTAATCAAAACCATATTCATATACAATTTTAACAAGATCTACTTACCGTTTTTCCTCGAAATGCGCACAGAACATTTATATTAGTTTGAAAAAACAAGAAATTAAAATATGGAGAACAAGCAGGAGCAGATTGTGAGTTCCTCGATTTGACGGGATGACGGGTCGTAGCTTGTAGCTTTTCTCGCGCATGCGCGTTGAGTGAGGTATCGATAAAGTATGTTAATCAAATAAATAAGATCCTATATATATATATATATATATATATATATATATATATATAAATAACTCGCCCTATGTATCCTTTTTAAAAGTTTTTGGAAAATTAATTAAAAACATAAAATAAAAATAATATGCATAAATTATATTAATTTAATTATTTTCTTACGTATATAATATATACTTTATTTAACTTGTTTTCTGCGAGATTCACTAAACTGAAGTATCCATCACACACACACACACAATATAAATATGCGTGATGACTATATAAACGACACCATCGCGTGTTGCGAAAATTTGACATCCACTATCGGACATCCTATAGACGTCCAAATATTGACCATTAAAAGATGTTTGAAATCAGATATACGATGGACGTCCATTTTATGTCCATGGACGTGCGGACGTAAAACGGACATAAAATGAACGTCCATAGGATGTACTGTGCTATCTGGGTTGAGACTTGGTATGTTGTCGATGTCACGATGATAGACCGGCACAGTGAGTAAAGAATGACAAGTGACTTTGGAAGAGAGCATTTAGATTAAGTACCAAAATTAATGCCATACATATGAAGATCCTTAAGGAATTCATTTTGGGCAAATGTAAAAATCCTACAGAGGTTACGAGTCTTATCACCTCTAGTCCAGCCTTTATATATCCCACGCTTTTCACAAAAACTATGTACATTAACAAACATATCCCGAGTACTCCTACCATTACTTCCCATAACAGAAAAGATATTAGCTTGATGTATTCGGGGATCTGTTTTTTTGGTTGCGCTATCACGCAAATGCCTGATCTCATATGGGGATAAAGATATCTGAAAATAAATAAAATCTACTCTTTATATCTCGTGCAGATTTCATTTGCTATGCAACGTAAAAGAGAAAGTTCCTCTTCTTCTCTGTTCCTTCTCTTTTTCTTTTTCTTTATTATTAGCTATTTATTTATTATTTATATTTATTATTTATATTTCGTTTTTATTATATTCGTATAAAAGAAGTTATAATAAACAATGACATAAGCGATAAATTTCAACAAATATTTTTTGTCGGACAAAGATTATTATATATCATACATATTGTAACGTTCGTATTTCCGGACGTTTTTCTTAGCGCGGATAGATCGCCGGTGCTAGGTGTCTTTAAATAAAATACGCGTGTGTGTGGTATAATTGCGTTTATTGCGTTTGTATGAAAGTGTGTACAGAGTCGGAGTGTGTAAATGTGTAGACGAGTGTGTGAGCGTGTGCGTGATCATAAAAGTTCGTATATAGATTGCGTGGTTCGCGTAATTAAGCCGAATATTAATGCGGATTAATTTCGGCCTCGCTGTCGCACGCCGGCGGGTGTTTACTATTGCGCGAGACGGCGCGCGTTTTTGCGGCGCTTTTTCTGCGGGGAATCCCGAGATTCCGAGAATGCTTCGGTTCTCGGAATCGACGGTGATTTTCGCCGTAATATTTATTTCGCGATTTAAAGTCCGCGTATAAATCGCCTATGCGCTTGAACGCGGCGGTGTTTATGCGTCCGTTTGTTTAGATGCGCTCACGTAATTGCATGTGATGCATGCAACGATGTTCGGTGCGTATAACCCTGGTTTTTATTCGCAAAGGATGGATTGCGCGATGCAGCTGGATCGGTAACTCCCGATCCGGGGCGGCTCAAGCTCCACCTTCCGTGAGGGTTGCAGCTGCGGATTAGGCGGATTGCACTTTGGCGTCAGAATCGAGAACTCTCGTTCGGAGACGGAGCACGCTCCACCTCTGTTTTCAGCTCTTTCTGTGCGTTTGGTAGGATTTCTCAAGGATTGCTCTTTGGAAGCGTACTGCTTCAAGCGGATCGGAGAGATCTGATTGCGTCAAAAATGTGGCCCTTTTTATACGAGCTAATTGCCCGCGTCGGCGCGTGACGGTATAACCCCTTCCGAACGGGTTTTCGGAAAACGGTACGGTCGGGCCCGTTCGGAGGGATTCGGGTAGGAGCCGAACGCGGGCTTTCGCCGGTCGACGGTTCGGGCCACATCGACTCTGTTCGGCGATGTTCGGCCGAATTTCGGTTTTCGGCAGTTTAAAAAAGGTGGGCGCACCGCGCCCCTGCCTCTGCCCGGCGGGTGTTCTGCCGGGCGGCAGCTTCCGGCGGATGTTATGCCGGGAATCGTAACGATGCACCGGAATGCATCGTTACAATATATGTATATATATCATACATATATGTATATACCCAGATAGCACATGGAACTCCTATGGACGTCCAATGGACATTCGAGTTTGGACATGTGGACGTCCATAAGATGTCTGAATTAAGTCCGACGGATATCCATTGGACATCCATAAGACGTCGGTTATTCACTACTTCGGATGTCCAAAAAACAATCCAAAAAAGGACTTAAAATGGACATCATTTTCAGTGTCTTACTCTTTCAAATTATTATTGGAATAAATATCAAAAATTCATAAACTCAGAAAAAAATTTATATTTAATTATGTATAATTGTGTAGATATAATTATGTATGGATTTTGATCTAATTTAATCATATATAAAAAATTGTTCTTTATTATACATAAATAAATAGCATTATCCTTCATAACATTTAAAACATAAAAAATTCTTTGGCCCAACAAAATTAAATAATATAATAAAATAGTATAATTTATCTATTTCATATAAAACTTTACATAAAATTCATGTAAAAATTTTATTTATATTTATACTTGCTTATTGCACTCTACATTTTAAATAGGTAATTTAAAATGTAAAGTGCAACAAGCAAGTTTAAATAAGTACCGGATTATTTTCGTTTATTTGCCGGACATTTACTTGTACGACTTATAAAATCAATTTAATATCTGAAACTCTTGTATTGAGATCACAAATTAAATTGAACAGTATATTTTTAATCTTATTTGTTACTCTTTGCAAACTTTATATAATTCTTATAACTAAAACTTAAATACGAGAAAGATAGCGCATCGCACGTCGCATAGCGGTAAACGAACGAACTAACACATCCTTGCGTGCTCGCGCGAAACTTTGATGTCCAAGATCGGACATTTTGTGGACGTCCAAATATTGGCCGTTAACGGATGTCCCGAATCGGATGTACGATGAACAGTCATTTCATGTCCATGGACGTACGGACGTAAAATGGACATAAAATGAATGTCCATAGGATGTCCTGTGCTGTCTGGGTATATATATATATATACAGCGTGTGTCAGAAGTTCCGGGACGGCTGGATAATTTGAAAAATACGCATCACAGAGGAAAATGACCTAGACAAAAGTTGTAGGATTTTTCCCGGACAATCCGACGGTGACCTTAGATTTGACCTTGGATAGTCATTTGAAGGTCACATAAAGATTACCTTCAATTTCTTAAATGGAACCCCCTATTTTTCATTGCATATTCTTGTAGCTTATCTCGAGAGCTTTCCAAAACACTATAATTAAGTACCTTTTTATTAAGTACTTCTTGAATTATAAGGCTTGAAATAATTTCTTAATTTTACATAAACCATAAAATATCTAGTAAACCATTCATTTTTCGATTATCTTACCTTCATACTTTTATGTACAAAATAATGAGAGAAATCAATTGGTGTAAAGAAAACACATAGTTGTTTCTAAGAAAAAATATGTAATTTGCAATTAACAATTCCATATTTTTTCTTAAAAACAACTGTATGTTTTCTTTACACCAATTGATTCCTCTCATTATTTTGTACATAAAAGTATGAAAGTAAGATAATCGAAAAATGAATGGTTTACTAGATATTTTATGGTTTATGTAAAATTAAGAAATTATTTCAAGCCTTATAACTCAAAAAGTACTTAATAAAAAGGTACTTAATTATAGTGTTTTGGAAAGCTCTCGAGATAAGCTACAAGAATATGCAATGAAAAATAGGGGGTTCCATTTAAGAAATTGAAGGTAATCTTTATGTGACCTTCAAATGATTATCCAAGGTCAAATCTAAGGTCACCGTCGGATTGCCCGGGAAAAATCCTACAACTTTTGTGTAGGTCATTTTCCTCTGTGATGCATATTTTTCAAATTATCCAGCCGTTCCGAAACTTTTTCCCATCACTGCATATATATATTATATATCACATATATTTGATATTTCCATGGATATAAATCTATTTAACATGAAATTTATAATTTAATTAGATTTTTAAGAAATTTTTGAAAAAGGATACTGGAGGATTCTTCTCAAAAATTAAGGTGATGCCGGACCTTCCTTTTTTACCGACAAAATTTTGTGCACACTATACTCTTTATTAGTTGCACAGAATAATAAATGCTTTTCCACAATTAAATTACACATAACAACAAAGATGAGAGTGAACCATTTTTTGTTCAAAATGAAAAAAAAATAGAAAATTACAGTTTTCTTATCGGCTTCTGACATCAACTCGTAACAATATTAGCTGAATATAAAAGTTTTGCAGTTTGTACGTACAAAATAAGAGCACTCTCACCTCAGAATTTCCTGAAGGAATATACATGAACAGTCAGAAATGCGTTTAGAAGCGTAGTAAAAATAATTAGCGTGCATGAAAATTTCGTGCATATGTGTGTGTGCGAAATCGAGGCATGTGAGTAAAACAGGCCTGTAAATTAGTTGGTTGCTATCACGACAGACGGCGCTGTAACTAGTGCAATTAGTTACAGTGACAGAAAGTATGTTTGAACATCTGGTTTCTGTAACAAATTTACTACATACCGAGCTACCACATATCGACTCTTTAATTAAAAAATCACAAATAGTAACTGACATGAGTACAGCAGAATTAAAAAAGGTGAGCAAAACTTTCAATCAAATTTATATATATTTGTAACCTCAAATCACAATGTCTTAATATGATTAATTTTTTATCAGATTATGTCTGAAAATGAGATGGAACTCGATATAGGAAAACAACTCAACGGAATATTGGTCGAACAACGATTGAATCGTTGGGTAAGAGATAAGCGACAAAGTATAAAATATTGCTCTCTTATAATAGAACATGCTTTATACATTCTCTGGAGTCATTCTTTGGACTTTTATACTATGCAAGTGATATCACGACATACTCAAAGAATACACGGTCAGTGACATTTTCGACTATCATAAACAATGTATATTTATATAATTTTTATAATTATTCAAGCACTTAAAATATTTATTTATAGTGTCTTCAAGTAGCATCGATGAGAATATGATAGAATGGAAAGTCTCGACTGAAACATTAATGAAACTGAAGCAAGGACTTGTTTCTATATTTATAGATGCTTTTGTTACACAGTTATTGGATATGACACACAGTGAATATGCAACATTGGATCACAGTTTTATCGAAGTTCTTATAAGACGAATTTATAAAGATTACTACAATTTATAATCATAAAATAAAGAGCTAAGATGTGCGTTTACATTCATAGTTCCAATTTTGTAAATAATTTCCTTGATTCAAATATTTTTTCATATGTAGATATTGTTTATAAGTTAAGTATATATTTTTATCCCAATTTTAATAAGGGATCTTTATAATTTGTTAATTTTTATTAATTTGTATAATCTAGCTTAAGGTCAATCGTCATTTTATATATAAAAGCGAAAAATATTTAGACTAGAATATGAAATTGTAATTGAAATCACTAACAATTTGTTACATATTTGAAATATGTTAAAAATGATTAATAAATCTAATTTAGAGAATCTCAAATATACACACAATGTCGATTTATTTACAAAAATTCAAGGAAAATCATAATTGTTCTTTACTTCATCTTCTATAACATTTTTTGTAAAACATTAGAATATCTTTAATTCTTGAATATCTTAATTCTATTAGAATTATAACATGATTTATATTAACATGCTTCTTCCATATATCTTATTTATCTCTTTGACTTATATATTATGCAATAAATATATTTATATAATATGTCATTTATTATTTATTATATGAATATTGTAAATATGACAGTTTTATATAAAAATATAGAATGTTCTATTTTAAAGTATAGTACATATATAATCTAAATTTAATGGAGAGAAAGAAAAAGAAATTACATGTTTACATTTATATAGTTTTACTTAACCATAATACTTTACAGAGAATATGTTGTATTTATTTTAGGAAACAATTACTGCTTCATCCCATATGGACCATAAATGTTATCTTTATATTTTCGCATCTGACATAAAAAGTGGACAAATAAAATGTAGGAATATTATAGCAACAATAAAAACAATGAAAATGTTTGTGAGATAAATAAAAGTAAATATATGATACCAATTGTCAAAAAAACTGATATGAAATGTTATTAGTTATTTGTGACAATAAATACGGTAACAATACAAAACATTGAACGGAAACTGTTAAAAGTGAAAAAGCATGTAATGGAGATGTTAATCTGGAAGCCAACATGAATCAAAAATTGAAGAAGTTATGGATAAGGAATCTAACAAAGAGATTTGTGATGATCCATATGTAAATATTAAATGAGTCAAGAACATGAATATTGTCATAGCATAAATTGTATCAGTACTAATTGTTTCGGTTAAAGTTTTTAAAATTGGCGATAATATATAACCAAATGTAACAATTAATTATTACATTATAGATAACAAATACTGTCCATAAATCTTTTGTAGCATTTTGGTAATGTTATCTATAATGTTATCTATAATGCAATAATTAATTGTTACATTTGGTTATATATTATCGCCAATTTTAAAAACTTTAACCGAAACAATTAGTACTGATACAATTTATGCTATGACAATATTCATGTTCTTGACTCATTTAATATTTACATATGGATCATCACAAATCTCTTTGTTAGATTCCTTATCCATAACTTCTTCAATTTTTGATTCATGTTGGCTTCCAGATTAACATCTCCATTACATGCTTTTTCACTTTTTATCTATAATTTCCAAGGCCTTTCCGCTTTCAAGAGTTGTATTTTCTGTAACATAAATAATAATAATCATATATTAATCATATGAATATATATCTGTATATATATATATATATATATATATATATATATATATATAACTATTACATAATATATATAAATAAAAATATACATACATTTTTTTTCAATATTGGAAGTATGATGCGGATGATGCTGGCAAATATCCTGATTGCACTGGCGGTGCGCGCACATATCCTGGTTGTATGGGCGGTGCGTGTACATATTCTGGCTGTACGGACGATGTATGCACATATCCTGGTTGTATGGGCGGTGCGTGTACATATTCTGGCTGTACTAACGATGTATGCACATATCCTGGTTGTACGGGTGGTGTGTGTACATATTCTGGCTGTACGGATGATGCATGCACATATCCTGCTCGCATGAGCGGTGCGCGCACATATCCTGGTTGTACAGGCGGTGCGTGTACATATTCTGGCTGTACGGACGATGTATGCACATATCCTGGTTGTATGGGCGGTACGTGTACATATTCTGGCTGTACTAACGATGTATGCACATATCCTGGTTGTACGGGTGGTGTGTGTACATATTCTGGCTGTACGGATGATGCATGCACATATCCTGCTCGCATGAGCGGTGCGCGCACATATCCTGGTTGTACAGGCGGTGCGTACACATATTCTGGTTGTGCAGGCGGTGTGTGCACATATCTTGGATGTACAGGCGGTGCGTACACATATTCTGGTTGTACAGGCGGTGTGTGCACATATCTTAGTTGTACAGGCGGTGCGTGCACATATTCTGGTTGTATGGGCCGTGTGGTGATGGATCTGAATGCAAATGCACGTCCACGTGCGGCATATTGTTGTTTTTTCTTTTCGCGGATCACCGCTCTGCGCACTGCTTCATTAATGTGCTGTAAAAAAAATATATATTAATATAAACATAAAATGTATAGATAAAAATGTATAGATAAATGTATAGATAAAAAATCTACGCATACACATATGCACACATACGTATAAGTAATCTTCCCAATCATATATTATAATTTATATAAATATATAATTATAATTTATTAAAATATTATTATTTTTAATTTATTAAAATATTATTATATTCACCTTGTTTATGTTTTGTTTCACTCTGTCCCCTAGTCTCAGATCCTCTAGTACCGACGTCATCGACGTCGCCGTTGACACTCTCCCGTCGGCGGACAGCGGCGTCGTCGTCGTTGACACTGTTCCGTCGGCGGACAGCGGCGTCGTCGCCGTTGACACTCTCCCGTCGGCGAACAGCGGCGCCGTCGCCATTGCCACTCTTCCATCGGCGCACAGCGGCGTCGTCGCCGTTGACACTCTTCCGTCGGCTGGTAGCGGTGCCGTCGTTGTTGACACTCTTCCGTCGGCTGGTAGCGGCGCCGTCGTCGTCACTATCCTGTTCGCTGAAGACGACGCCGTTGTCGCCACCATCCTCACTTTTGATAGTGGCAACAACGACGTCGTTTCCGTCGTCTTTTTGAATTTTACGCTGCCTTCGCTTCTTGCTGAAATAAATTTATTATTATTATTATTATTATTATTATTATTATTATTATTATTATTATATATATATATATATATATATATATATATAAATTTCAAAAATGTATAAAATATACTTACGTCGAGGCATTGTTCCACTTGAAACGCACAAGAATGAACTGGTTCTTTCCAGTCCACGGTCCACGGTGTTTTTTCAGTCCAGTGTTGCCAGAAAGCAGACGCGGCGCACACGCACACGATCAGCGAGGCACGTGTGCGTGTGCGTCGCGTCTTCTATCTGGCAACGTCGCTTCATTCCACTTTGGAAAGAAAAACGATCTGGCCGATTTCGAGATTCGGCATTGCTGCGTTTTTAAAACATCAATAACAGTTTTAATATTCGTTGTATAAGTTATTTACTTTTTTTATATTTTTTATTAATACTAGAACAACACAGGCGCGCGCTATTGAGCTATTACATGGAAAAAATAAAATATTCAAATATTTAAATATTCGAGAAATATAATATATATTCTAATATATACTTAATGTTATAATTCAATTTAATAATATAAAATAACTTTAATAATATTAAATAATATTAATAAAATTGAACAACTATATATCTCTCTTTCTCATCTTTCTTCCTTTCCCTACATTTTTAATAATTTAACTCTCTCCTTTCCCTTTTAATTTTCCTCTTTCTTATTATTTTATTCTTTCTCTCTTTTTCTCACAATCTTACTCTTTCTTATTTCTCCCATTTCTTCTTTTTTATCTCTCTTCCTCTCTTTCTCTCTCCCTCCATCTCTCTCTCTCTCTCTCTCTCTCTCTCTCTCTCTCTCTCTCTCTCTTTCTCTCTCTTTCTCTCTCATTATTTCATTTTTTCTAAACTAATTTTTTAAATGTTATTTTTATAAATTAAAAAAAAAAATATGTAATATTAATGTGTAAAATATTTAATAGTTTTTTAATAGTTTACAAATTTAAAATATGCAAATCAAATTTAAACACTTTTTTCAAATATTTACGACAGTTTAAAATAAAATTTGCATAGTGATAATTAATCTGTTTTATACAAATTATCCATATACAATCCAAAAAAAATTTGTTTTAATTAGTCATTTTAAAAATTTTTTAAATTTAAATTTAAATTTAAATTTTAAATTATTATAATATATGTATAAATTTTAAATTTATATATACACTAATATTATGAATATTATAATCTATATATGTAATCTATATTATAAGTTATAACGACTATATTTCTAATGAAGATTCTAATAATATTATTTATTTGATCATATATTTTTGAATAATTTTCTTTAAGCTTTTTAAATATTTTTTAAAAATGTTTTTATAATAATAATACCTGATGTAAATAAGCAAAAGAGAAAAAGAGAAAAATAGATTGAAGGAAAAGAGAGAAGAAGATAATATTAGATAATAATGTTACTTATTTTTAAGTGATAAATAAAAAGACAATACGTACACAATATTTAAATACATTTTTTTTAATTTAAGATTAAATTTTATTCAATAATAAAATAAAAAACATTAAAATTTAAATTTGAACATTATATTATTAATTCTTATCTTATTAATTAGATAATATTAGATAATAATGTTATTTATTTTTTATTTAAAGTTAAAAGAATAGAAAGGAAAGGACGAGAGAACAAGAAAAATAAAGTGGGAATCAAAAAGAGGAAAAGAGAGAGAGAAAGCAGAATAAAAACTTTATTTAAAATTAATGAAGAGGTAAAGAACAAGCGAAAGAGAGGGATAAATAAAAAGACAATATGTACACAATATTTAAATACATTTTCTTTAATTTAAGATTACATTTTATTCAATAATAAAATACATTAAAAACATTAAAATTTAAATTTAAACATTTTCTTATTAATTCTTATTTTATTAATTTTTGACGTAATTAAATTGAATGCCTCTTGCTTCCATTCTGCAAAAAAGAAATAATATAA